GGAGGAGGATGAAGAATAAAAGAGCCATAAATAATCATACACAAAAACTAATCAAATGACTTTTCCGCCTCGACCTTTTTTCTCCTCCCATCATTCAATTCATTTTTATTCTTCCTTTTGCTTTAAATTTTTTTTTTTTTTATTTTTTTTTTTTAAAAAAAAAGTACATTTGACGCCAAATGGATGAAAAATGCCGAATGGAAGTTTTTGTCTTCCTCTTGTTACATGCAATCAAATGAATAGCATTTTAATGAATACAAAAAGAACAGAAGACATGAGAAAGAGAGAGAGAGAGAGAGAAATACTTCTTTTTTTGAGAGATTGAAAATTATTTCAAAAAGAAATTTTTGCAAATTTTTAATTTTATAAAAGAACAATAAATAAGCAATCATAAATCATACACTATAAAGCACACATCAAATGAATAAATTATTGCAAAAAAAAAAGGAAAAAAGAAATTTTTTGATATTTTGTTCCAAATTTTTTAAATTGAATTATTTTTTTCATCAAATTTTCAATTTTATTCTTTTGAAATTCCAATTTTCGTTTGTTTGTTTTCTTCTCCCTTTCCTTTTTTTTTTTTTTTGATGTGGACTATATAAAAAATATGCAACTGTTGTTAATAGATAGTGTAAAAAATTGCATGATCTAATCTTTATCAGCTTGTAAAAAGAATTCCACCTTAGATAAAGTAAAGTTTGAATTCAATTCACATTGTACCATTTTTTTTCTTTTTGGAAATTTATTTTTTTTTTCGTTTAATGTAGTATGTATGTGAAATTCACTGATTGTTAACAAATTTCGAATATACAAAAATAATATTACAAAATAACTATATTCAATTTAAAAATATAATTGTGCAACAATTTTAAATGCAAATTCAAAAATAAAAAAAGAAAGACCAATAAATAAAAGAATAAACTATTGGATAGAATTTATTCATTTAATTATAATATTATTTGCTAAATATATATTTTAATGTATTTCGGTTAAACAGAAGGAGAGATAGAGAGGGAGAGAGAAAAAAAAAGAAAAGGGTGGCACTTTTGTTTATAATACTTTGTTTTTTCCTTTCATTCTCTTTTTTTTTTTTCTTTTATTATTTTCTCTTTTTTTTGTTTGTTTGTTTTTTTTTTTACAAATTTAAATTCATATAAAAATATCACAAATGGCATATTTTCCTAGCTTGCTCTCATAAATCTGTATGGTAAAGCATTGGTAAACAATCAATCTATCTCTTACCGTTTCCTTTTGTTTTATTTTTTGGCCTAAATTATCTAAAATTTCATCCTACCACAATTACTAATTGCAAAGTAATAATTGTAAACGAAATTACTAATTAAAAAGAATAAAATTCGAAGGAAAAAAAAAAGTTGAATGAAATATCTATTATTATTATTACCGAACTATTCGATTAACTTATTGTATTAAAGATTGTATATGAGTGGAATAATCAAAATTGATGGGAAAAGAAATTAATAATCAATTACTCAAATAGACAATCATCATTATACCATAAATATGAATTCTCCCTTTTTCTTTTAAATTCTCCCATTATCTCCTTTCATTTCATTTTCATTGTCATTTTGCAAAATATTATCATTAATGCAAATTACATTGACAGAATAAAAGCTGTTATGAAAATTTCTACAAAACATCCCGAATGAATCATAACAAGACTAACATCCCAAATGAATCATAACAAGATTGATCGACTGATCATAATCAACAATATCTAAACTATTGAATGCTGAAGGAAGAAAAACAAAGATTATCCCTGTTGAAATTTCTTTTTAATCATGAATATTTTTCTTCTGAACGAAAAAAAAGATTCAACAAAACTATGAAACAATTCACTCAAATTTAAAGAATATATTTCCTTTTTGTTTAAAAAAAAAAAAAAGAAAAAAGAAGTGAGAAATGTTTATGTCACCTCGTCTCTTCAACTTATCATCTAAATTAATAAGAAATAATAAATTGGTGATTAAAAAACGATTGAGGTCATTAAATATACATATTATTATGTATATATCAATCAGTTAATTCGATCAATAAGCTCAATAGTCCAAATATTTTTAGTTTAAAAATTTTCAAGTTCTTTTTTTTTGTCTCAGAGATATCGATTGTGATTCAATTTTCAATACCAATTCATACAACACTGTTCTATTAATTAATTTAAACCGACTGATAAAAAAAAATACTTAGAGTTTAAAATATTGAGTTCAAAAGAGAAATTCTCCCAATAAAAAAAAAAGGAAAAGAAACAGGAAAAAAAACGAAAACTAATAATACCATCGTATTTCGATGAAGTTTAAGCGAAAAACACAAGTAGGGAGAAGATTAATAAAAAGATTATATTGTCGTTGCTGAAGGATTATCATGTTGCCTATTACATTATTCGGATAGATCAGAGGGTCAGAGGTCAGACGTTAATCTAATTCTGTTGGAGAGAAAAGATTAGGGCATCAAATTGTTACATATTATGCGCCCATTACTCTACTTTTTTTTTTCTAGAAAAAACTGATTAGATAATTATGCATACCAATCTGAAATTGTCATGAGATGATTTTGCCACTTTTTTTATCCCAACATTTTGTCATTTATACATCAGCGGTTTCCAACCATGATCCACGAGGATAGTGGTGCAATGATTAGAAAACAGGCGGAGGTTCTTGTCAACATTTGGTAGAGCAATAGGTTAAAAGTTTTGATTAAAGTTTATTTTCAGATTAAAAAAATTTATCATTTTTAAACAATGGAGTCCTTGGATACAAATAAAGAGCCGAAATGATCCCATCGGTTGGAAATCATCGGCATACATCAAGAAGTTATCGTAATATTAGGAAAAAAATTAGGAAAAAGCAAATGTATGTCATAAAAGTGATTCGTTCAAAAGATTGAGAGGTCGATAATTTATTAGCCAAAACAAATTTAAACTAATTTCTGAAATGATGAAAAAAGCACCCATAAATTAGCAACTAAACGACAATTGAATATTTCAATTTATTAACTTATTATTATAGAAATTATACAATTAAATTAACACAATAATTCAAAATAGTATCATTTGGAATTACTTTCACATAATGAATAAATAATGTATTTAAATTACAGAAAAAAATCGAAATGATACCACAATCCAAAACATACACATACACAAACACACACACACATACACACACACACACACACAACTTCTTGATTTTAATAACAAAATCGTAATTTCAGAAATTTATAATCGTAATTTTCGAAATTGATTAAATTTTATGATGAAAAGATGAGTGATACCTTGGGGGTAGAAGAAGTGGTGCCTTAAAGCAAGAATCATCGAAAATTTCTTTGCTTGCACTTGGCGTTATTGTCGCAGCAGTATTTGTCCCATTCTTCTCCTCCTCAACACATACCGATGATTGCTCCTTCTCCTTCATACCATTAATTGCATCGAATATTTATGAACTTGTTAATGATTATTGTATACTTCACCCAAAACATTCAAATAAACCACCAAAAACAGTATTTGTTGTAGCAGTTGTAGTAGTAGTAGTAGTAGTAGCAGTTATTGTTGTTGTTATTGTAACAGCAATAACGTATAGTTACTGCTATTGTTGTTGCTGCTACTACTTCTGTAATTATAATTGTAGTTGTAATTAAAGTATCACTTAGTAGTAGCAGTAGCGATAAGATCACCTGCAATAATATTAGTAGCAGTAATAATGAGAATAATAAATTAATTGAAGCAATAATAGATAGTAAAATCCGTGTGTAAATGTTACTGATAATAATCTGCTTCGATAATGATATTTACAGATGTAAAATCTGAAAATGAAAAAAAAAAATTAGAAAATTTTCCGCTTTATCAAATTTGTTTATCTTTATGTATTGCATATATAAACAAATAATCCAGGTAAGCAAAAATGATTAAAAATGATTTAAACACAATTGCTAGAATGAAAAAAAAAACTCATCAGATAGAATTTTTTTTAAAAAAAGGAAGGAAGAGAGAGAGGGAATAAAAAAAAAAAACTTTTACGATAGGATAACGCTGACGATACTAATAATACAAATTGAAAGTTTAAAACAAAGTATCGATAATTTGTACACTAATATTACACCCAATACAGCAATTGTAGTAATAACAGCAAAGAAGTGTACGAAAAGGTTAAAGGACAAAAAGAACGACCAGCATGAAACAAGTACTCACAACAGTTGTTATAAGAAATCAAAGAATAAAAAAAAAAATTCCCTTTGTAAACAGTCCAGTCATTGGCAAACTGAAATAACTAGCATATGTTATGATAGCATAATAGATAATATTATTTAAAAATTACGATATATAATGGTAGTAGTAGTATTAATAATAGAGCGCTAACAACAATAATAATGACAGTGATGATATTACTAACGGTAATGGTAGGTGATAATGATACTGAAAATGATAACAATAACGATAATGATGAAACAATGGAAGAAAAAATAGTGATAATGACAGTGACTATAATAAATTGTAATAATAAATATACCAAAACCAATAATTAATTGATAAATTGAAGGATAAACTGATTAATATCTTCAACATCTTTCCATCATCCATAACCATAAATATGAAAGCACAGATCTCAGAAAGTTAGATTTCAGATAGTTATTATAATTACTATCATTGTCATTATTTTGAACTGAAAATTATTATTTAATCGGGAATATATATGCGTATAAAGTTTGTTTTTAGAAATTCAAAAAAAAAATAGAATAATTAATTTGATCAAAAACAAATTGAAACAATTAACACTTACTCATCAAATTAAACACAAACAATACCGCTGCTACCGTTATATACGTATCGTAACATAATACTGACCTAATTTTTTAAGCAATTAATTTTAAAAAAGGAATTTAAATGAATAAACATAGAGAGAAAGAGAGGCCGATAAGGCGAGATAGAGAGGGAGTGGAAGAGAGAGAGAGAGAGAGGAGTATTTATAGTTGTCCATTGAATTCGAATGAAGGAAATAAATTTTGCTCAACCGATTTTTTTTAAAAAAAAAAAGAACCAATTATTACTACCATTTGTGCATTAAAGAAAAAAAAGAAAAAACTTTCTTTTTTTTTGACAACTTCCCTTTTCACTACGAACATTTCCTGATCAAAAAATTTTCGCAAATTTCATGAAACATTAACAATTTCATGCGTGAATTTATCGAGTTTTTAAGTTGTTGACAGTAGAGAGAGAGAGAGAGAGAGAGAGAGAGAGAGAGAGAGAGAGAGAGAGAGAGAGAGAGAGAGAGAGAGAGAGA